TTTTACCTCGTAAAATTGAACCGAAATGGTTAATCGGATATGGGGTTGGAAGCAGTTTAACCAGTCTAACTGGTAAACCGGTTGATTGAACTGCTCTAATTGGACAAGACTCGGGCCGTCAAAAAATTATTGAAAAACTAAAAAAGATACAAAAAAAATTCTACTAAAATATGAAAAACATATAAAGAATGATTAAAACAATACTCATTCAACTGAAGTTGAAAATTAATGAAAAAAATAGATTTTAAAGAATCGATTTGTACCTAGTGGCATTTTTAATTTTTTCGAAAAAGATGGAAAAATATAAAAGTGAGTATTAATGACTAAAACAATTTTTAATCTTTATGTAAAGAATATTAAAAAATGTATTACGAACCAAAATCTTTATTTTTGAGATTTTATATACATTTTTTTGAAATTTTTTTTTTTAAATACCAGCCAATCACTAAAATTGCCCGATATCGGAATCGACCACTGGCAGATTCCAATCTAACCGGGCGGTTATCAGTTAGATCGCCTGATTTTTCCAATATGGATTCCTACCATGCAAAAGCACCAAAAATGAGAGGATATTCGTCTACAAACACCCCAACAAAGCGAGAGAATTAGGTTTTTCACTTTTTATCGGTTGCCATGCATTTAGCCATGGGTATCATGCGAGCTATATAATTTCATTTTACTAAATTTTTATTGGGTTATGTTGGAGTGCTCATAGTATAGAGCATTTTATATACTCAAAAAAATTGGAATATTTATATATTGAGTAATTTTTTAAAGGGTATTTTTTTGTCATTAGGAGGAGTGCAACATCATCTATATGGAATTTAATATCATCTATATGAAGTACAATAGTAGTATTTAATGTTCAATGTGTGTGATGTCACACCCATATGGATGATGTCACATCTCTATTAATGATAAAAATGGATTTTCTATTTTTTTTAAAAAATAATATAAATATCCATTATATTTACCGTTATTACGGGATTACTTATAAGTTTTCGTTGTTATATCTATTCCATATTTCCAACTTTCTAACTTTCTTTTTAAAGAAAAAAGCTTCTATAAGGTGTCAACCTTATTTGTACAAGTAAGGTGCACCCAAAAAATCTATTGAGAAGATTTTTCCGATGCTGTAAAACCATCAAATCGATCATCTTGGCCTTGAGATTCATAGATATGAAAAAAAAAAAAAAAACGATTTTTAGTCCTAAAAATCTTTCATCTTCTAACACATTATATGGACCGTCAATTTTCAAGATTTTCAAGTATTCGTAGATCTACTTAGTCATTATCATTTTTGGAACTTTAGACTTCATAATAGGGAGTAGCATCAAATTTTCATATCATCACAAAACTTTGTTATGTCAAAATTGAATTTTCAGTATAATTTTGAGGTGCACCTTGCTTCAATAATATAAGGTTGACACCATATACAAATCTCACTTTTTTAAAAAATAAAGATGAAACTGCCCATTTTTAGTTTTTAAAAAATTTAAAACTAATAATTTTCAGATTTTTAAAATCTAAATTTATAAGTAAAAATCTCTCTCAACAAAAAGAGCTCGTTTTTCTTTGTTTTTTTAGACGGACATGCCTTTCCCGTACACAAAAATCATTTTGGCCAAATTTCATGTTGACTTTTGGATCCAATAGCACATTGTTGGAGGGCACCATCACATTGCTTACTGCCAGACCGCTCGTGAGCGCCCTAAGACAACTACCGAACCAAAACTAGGTACTGTCGGACCGCTCTTGAGCCCTACTACCGCACTGCTTGACATCTACTGCCAGACCGCCCTTTGCAACTGTCGGACTAGGACTATATTTTACCCAATGCCGGAGCCCTACTGTCGGACCGCATTTTACACCGTGCCGGAGCCCTAGTACCGGACCACACTTATGCTGGAGCTCCTATTGGTGGGATAGAGGAGAGAGGCCTGGCTTATGCTGGAGCTCCTATTGGTGGGATCCTATTGGTGGGATAGAGGAGAAAGGCCTGGCTTATGCTGGAGCTCCTATTGGTGGGATAGAGGAGAGAGGCCTGGGTAAAGTAAAAGTAAGGGAAAGTAGTTTAGTTTTTTTTTTTTAGTTGGGGGTATTTGCATAAAAAGGGTATTTTGGATAAAAAAACGAGAGAAGACGTTAGGTTGGAGTGTAGTCTTGGGTTTTTGTTTTTTATAATTTTCTCTTTTTTTTTTGTCTGTCATCTAGATTGACTTGAACATTTGGGTCTTGATCAAATATCTTGAAGGAAGTTAGCGTTTTTCTTACATTTTTGGGTGGACGAGAAGAAAACTACAATGTGGGACATCAAATCTCTGTAAATTTACAGTTGGATTTCCTTCTTTACATTTGAAGTAACTAGGGTTTTGAGATTCTTCAATCTTATCAAATGTATATAGTGAATTTGGTAGGGTTTTCTTGGACTCTACGGCATTGGTTTCTCTTTGAGGAGAGCCCTGCATTTCTTGGCTGTAACTGAGAAATCCGGCTTGGGTTTGATGGTTGGAGAAGTTGGTTTTTAGGGATTAAGGGATTGAAGTCGAAATGGGTAGCAGGAAAGCAAGGTGGACCATCTCTTTGAGATTTTGACCATTGAAGTTTCGGCGAGAATGGCCATCGGAGTTCCTGTGCCCTATCTCCATGGCTCCAATGGCTAACCCAATCATTGTTTCTTATGGCCAGACCTTTGAGAGGAGATGCATTGAGGCCTACAAGGAAATGGGAGCCATGGCTATGGCCTCCAGCCAATTAGACCCTTCAGCCCTATTTCTTAACTTTGCCTTCAAAATTGTTATTTTCAATTAGTGTGAGAATGATTGTGATTTTTAGGTACAAAAGATAAATGGTCTTTTTATAGACAAACCCATTAAATAAAAAGATGTGGTTTGTATTAGACTGATGCCCGAAATAGTCAAATAAGGTGTACCTTCAAATAGTATCGAAAGATGTGGTTTCAACACTACAAATCTTTATGATGGCCTAATAATTGATTTTCATAGCTCATGATAAAGTTTAAATCTTCAAATATAATATAGATTACACAAATTTGTGAACACTTGAAAATATTGAAAATTGATCGTCTAGATAATATATTATACTATCTAGTATTTTTAAAATTTGAAGTCCGTTTTTTAGAATTTCATATATTATCTCCAGGTCGTGATGATGGGATTTGAGGGTATTTTAGAATCAAAACAATTCTTTTTAGTACATTTTTTATGTGCATTTTAGTTTGTTTATTTAGAGCCTCAACCTTATACAAACTTTTTTCAAAGTAAAATGGCCACATTATTTTTAGAGAAAATATCTTCATAGATCCCATTTTCAACTTTCATTTCTCTATTGACTTAAAGTTGTAAAACCTATCTTACTACATAAAAATTCACATTATTATATCTCCTAACCTCTTAAACATAATTTATTCAATTTTTACTAAGTTTTTTTATCCAAACAAATTTTAAAAATATATGATTTCTAAACCCTTCTCTCTCTCTCTCTAGACATGATTCCCCATTTCTCTCTCCATATCAGCCTCTCAACCCTCTCTCTGTAAGCTCAGTCTCTCCCTCTCTCTCTCTCTCTAAAATCGAATCTCTCGATGAACTCAGTCGCTCTCTCTCTCTAAACTCTGTCTCTTTCGATCGCCACCTATCTCTCTCTAACTGCCTTTCTCTCTCCTCAAGAGTTGGGTGCTCTGTACCCCTTTCTCCAAACAGAAAAATAAGATAAACCACCAACCTTCGGTTGTGCCTCCATTGTCAATCCACTCACCCAAATACTCATTCCCCTTTCCCTCTCACCGGCTCACCTCTCTCTCTCTAAAAGAGAAAGAGAAAAAACTATACAGAGACTCCCCACTTTTCTCTCTCTACATCTGCACTCAAAATCAGAGGTGCATACGCCCGAAATCAATCACTCAAAAACAATCAAAACTTCAAATTCTTCGGCAAAACATGAAAAAGAAAGCACCCAAAAAATACAATCAAGATTCTGCATCATGAAGCCAACCAATCTCGTATTTTTGCGAAATCACAAAAATATAGGATATTATTCTGATTTCCTCTTTGCCTGAATCCATATCCTGAAACACTCTTCATCTAGTTTTACATAAGAGTTTCAACAATTCTGTGCATAGAGAGACAGGGACAGTGAGAACCAAGACGAGGCTTGTGTATCCTAGAGTGAGGAAATCAGTCCAGCTCCCTATGACTGAGATTAGCCATAGATAAAAGCAGCGATCTTGAAATAGAGCTTCGAGTCCTTTCCAAGGGCGATATCCTGTTAAACCTTGAGAACATAATTTGTCTGTGAACGTATGAAAGCAGCAGACTCCTCCACTACTGGTTCTTGTGAGAATTGCATATCTGGCGAAGGTGGAGGTAACATGTTATGCGTTAACTAATTTAGACAGCTTATATATTTTTATATTTCGACATTCTCTACAATCTTCTGGCCTTTACCATTGTTGAGCGGGAAAGAAATGGGTTGAAGAGGAATAACAGTCTAGATATAGAAACACGTGAGGAGGGAGATTTAAACATGCGAGAGTTAGAAAAAAAAGTTGTCTTTTTTAATTTATTTGAGTTAAAAGTTGGAATAAATATAGATAAAGTTGTTTGGGGTTGGAAGATGAGCTTTAAAAATTTGAGTTTAGAAAGAAATAAAAGTTAAAAAATAGAGTCCATAAAAATATTTTCCCTTATTTTTAGAGCTTTTATGCATGACAATGTAATTAAGACGACCCGGACAGCTAAAGAGAGGCGTCGCCTACATGGTTTCCTTTGACCCAGTGGGCTTGTAAAACACCTTCCCCTTAGTAAGGGGCCGGGTAGGGTACGGTTCATTGTTACAGTATGGTACATATACGATCCACAAGTGCCACGTGGCTGGGTACAAAGTGTGCTTTTCCCGAACAAAAATGAGCATTCCCTACTTCACCTATCCTTAAATTCATATTTTTATGGAAAATTCATTGTAACCTTATCTTCCTTCCATTCCCATGAATAAGTTTTCATCTATGACCATTTTACCCCTCATCAGAATCTCTAGTCAATTCATACGTCTTCCCCCTTATCCTCACACTCCAGTTATCGAAGTTCTCCAACTTTTTTTATGACCACTTCTTCCTTTGCAACTGTTGCCGATATTCCTTGACCTGATCCCGGTCCACAAAACCCTAGATATATCCAGAACCCTAATTTCCTGTGCGACTGCAACTCAGCTTGTAAATATCTGATCCATCAAACCCTAGATTTCATCTGCTGCATCAGTCTCTGCAAGTTATACTGTGGATTCTTTTGCGAGAGTGAAGTTCAGAATTTGATAATCTTATTTCTCCTTTCCAGCTACTTCTCCATTGAACTGAAAAGAGTCGCCATAAAAGACATTTGTTAAGTTCACTATGTCCTCTCCTCTTTGACATCATCAAAATTCCTAATTTGAAAGACTCTGGCTTTCAGTCTTCTGATTCCATGGAGTCTTTCAACTACTGCTTCTGAAACATTGGTTCGACAATGTCAATGGAAAGATCTTTCGAGGCATGGGAAGAGGTTCAGAGACAAGGGCAAGACATAGCAGATCGCTTCAATTCTCTTGCGCAAGGGTTTACTGGTCTAATCCATACTCATATGAGCTCACCCCCATTCTCATGGCCAAACCACATCAGCAAACCTCTGGATCTCGAGCACTCTCATGAATTTGCAGTAACCAGTGGGGTTCCTGCTATCTTCGACATAGGGGGAAGACTGGGGCGTGCTGGAGCTGAGTTTGGGGCCTACATGAATGGAGTTGTTCAACAATTTTTCAGGAGGCTTCCTCTCCCTTTCAAGCCAGAGGAGAACCCGGTCATGAATGGTAGTGATGGGAAGAGTAAGAAGCGGTTAGTTTTTGAAGGGGATGAGAGAGAGAGCTTAGGATCTTCTTGGAGGGGTTTGAGTGGTGGGAGGCCTACGTATTCAGTGGGTTCTTCAAATGATGGAGATGAGTTTGAAGAAGAGGATGGGTCTGGGTTTCAATCGAGGTTGTCTGGTGTTTGCAATAGGCATCAGGTAGGATCTCTTTGAGGATTATGTGTTTCTTTTAATGAGCTAATATGCATTTGTTTTCTGGTTTGGAACTGAAATGAATTCTAGGCAGTCATATTGTATATCCAAGCTAGAGATTGATCAAATTGAGTGGGAACATTTGAATGATCAGTTGAACTTTGTTATTCTTGATTTGCACACTATCCTTTTTCCTCTTTATTCCTCATTCTTATGTTGGGATTATTGCTCGGGGAGGGTAATATGCGATTAAGTAGTCGCTATTCCCTTCCCTTGCCTGAAATTTTCCTGAAATTTGATTTTTTTTGCAACCATAATAGAGGCAGTTTTTCATTCTTTCTACTGTAGATTTATTTTGTTCCCCTAAGAGTTGTGTCATCTCTTATAATTGATTGGTACCAGACATTATATATATTTTTAGGACTAGAGGGGTTCTTGTCGGTTTTCCATGCTTCATGGTTAAAGGGGCCAGATGAACGACTGAAGCCTTTTGTGATGTTCTCTAATTTATATGCATAAGAGAAAAAAATCTTGATTGAGGATATCTGAACAACCGTTGTACTAGTTTGGTGAGCCACATGTTGCTTTGTTCATTGCTATATGGCATAATCAGGTGACCATTTTTTGGACTGACATCTACAAAAATATTGATCTTTTTCTTGTAATTCATTGGAGGTTTTGATTGTGATATTCCAGTGGTACTTGAGTGGTATTTGTTCCCCACTTTTGCCTCAGCTATGCTTCACCTCCTTCTTGCATGTGCCCTCCTCATATCTTAAGGTGCCTTCTGTTCCTCTCTCATAGATCTTGCTAACAACCATGTTGAGCGTGGACCATGAGACATGGCTTTGAAAACATTTATTCAATTACTCCATTATTTTAAGTATTAGAGGATGCGTTCCTCCCTTCTCTGGAATAGTAGACAAGGATTTGTATGCATGCTTAGAACATGAGTGGGTGAGACTTGCACTTGCCATTTCATGATGCTTGTCTAATTGTTCTCTAATTTGATACCAGTCATTTTGTGATGGTTTGACACGACACACTGGGCTATTGTCACACTATATTCGCCAAATTTAGCAATATTATGGCATCGCTTTCCTGCTACACTATAATGGTTCTCCTTTAGATTTGTTTGAATACCATTTAAATGAATGGTGTGTCCATGTAAATTCTTATTTATGTTAAAACCATTGTGTAACTCTATTAAGCACAATGCCTATTACAAACCCTTTGGGAAGGACTGTAAGCTTTCTGCAATGTTCTATAGGAACCTCCTAGCAGAAGGTGGCATGTGTTGCACATGTTATGGTAGTCCCTATGGCACCACATAAATAGTTTCTTTAGGAATGAGCCTAAGTCATGGAAAATTCAATAGTTTGTGACTCTTTTGAGAGACAGTGCAGAGTTTCAATAGCATTGTTTGGATTTTGGATACTGTAGGTGTAGGTTGATTTTGAGACTAATCCTTCTGTTGGTTACTCTGCTATATGGATCAGTATTGTGCCCTGGCTCACCTCATATCACATGTCCCTATTTTGTGGAGAAGCTTGTTCTTTGTTTGTTGGTCTGTGACCTTAGACTTGGTCCTTTCTACAGGCCATCTTCAACATCATTGGATTCGTTCCCAGACATCCGCTGTCTTTGGGATTATCAAAAAAGAAGACATTTGTTATCTTTGTAGGGTTGCCAAAAGGTATGTGATTCAAGGGTCCATGGTGCCTTTCATTTGGACCTCATATGGCTAATTTGGGTACTTTAATCACCAGTCGAGATTCTCTTATGATGTTAGTTGCTTCTCTTTCGGTATTGGAGAGGTCAGCTGATGTGGAAACAATGTTTCTTTGCCACTCTGTGGAGTATTTGGGCTTAGGTGTACTTCTTTACATAGCCTTCCTGGATGTTTTGTCACACATCGACATTTCGTATAGTGGTTCAGGGTTTTGGCTATCTTGGGAGTCTGGCACAATTCGGGCTTTGACATTCAGGGTTGAGGGCTTTATTGTAGAGCGAGGGTGGTTTCGACAATGGATACCTGGCCCCTAGACTGAATTTGGTTGGAGATATTTCCTATTAGTGTTCCAAAGCTTAATTTTGATGGTAGGTCTCTTGGGTACCTTGATCTAGCTAGGTTTGGTAACATTTTCTTAAACAATACGAGGCAGATGCTGAAAACGTTTCCAGGGACTACTCATATTTGTGCTTGATTAAAGCAGACTTTGACAAGTACATTTGACTACATTCACACAGAAATAAGTAGTATGTTTGATTGGTAAGCTTAGAAGGATTGGGATTACTCATCCTTTCCCTTGGGGATTTCATATTTCTGGATAAGTATGCTGCTGCCCTTTCTCTTTTCTCTAATCTTTTGATTTCCATTTTCTATTTTGTTGGTGATGTGCATGTATTTCATTGTCTATACTCTTGCATACAACTGGATTTATGCTCGTGTACTGGATTATTGCAATGGTATTCAATGAAGAAAAATTCATATATTTTTGGGGTCATTATCATGTGTGGCTTCATTATTTGGAGGAAATCGTTGTTGATATTAAATGGAAACTCTTAGTGGCTATTTCCCCATGCAACATTTTCTACTGCAACTTCACCATGTGAAGGAAATATTTAATGATGATTAATGGAAGCTCCTTGTTGCAGCAAAAGATCTCTTTTGCCCCAATGCATCATTCCCATCAGTGCTTTAAAAAATGGCGGCTTCAGTACCTAGGTCAGTGCTTTAAAAAATGGCGGCCTTGATACCTAGGAAGGAGGGGGGAGGGAGGGCGGGAAGGGGGGAAGGAGGGAGGGATTCATGTCTTTCGTTCTTTGGTGCTTGTGGTGCTGTAGACAGTGCACAATAATTGTTCAGTGAAACTTTGCCTAGAAGTTTGGTTCACAACATATTTTTGATAAAAATTCTCTTTAAATTTGGTTCACAACAATTGGTTGATGAAAATCAACACAAAATGGTCTATAAGTGTTCGAAAACGTGGTTGGCTGAGGGAAGGAGGCATTCACTTCTTTCATTTGGTGCAAAGTGCACACTAATTTTTCATTGAAACTTCTCCTAGAAAGTTTGGTTCACAACATATTTTTGATGAAAATTATCTTTAAATTTGGTTTAATTGATGAAAATCAATAAAAAATGGTCTAGAAGTGTTTGGAAACGTAGTTGGCTGTGGAACTTGGGCTTTGGATGGTCGGAGTGACTTGGGCGAGTCCAAGTTGACTCACCGGTGTCTGTGTTGGGCCAACCAAAGAGCTAAAAAACCCTAAGAAATTGGTGAACATCTGAAAAATTGGTAAAAATGGGAAGAAAATGATAAACAACATAAAGGGTAAGAGTAGTTAAAAGATGAGAAAATAGTAAGTTTTGAAAAAATAGAGAAAATGGAAAATTGGTTAAAGATTATTTTCTCAAAAAAGGGATAAGTAATAGGAAAAATAGAGAACATTTTTTAAAAAATATAAAGAACATATTAAGTTAAACTTCTCTCAAAAGAATAAAATATAAAGAACATATTAATTATAAATTAATTATAATTGATTTAGTGAAAAATTAAATTAATTGTATATGGATGTTCTGGACTTGACAACTTGCTAAGTTTGAGTCACTCGAACAAGTCTGAGTCAACTCGCCAAGTCAGCAAACACTGGTCTAGATTGATACCAACTAAATATTGATTTTCATCGAACAATTAGTGTTGAACCCAATTTTCTAAGCGGATTTGCATTGGAATCTTGGTGTCCACTTCCTATGCAATTCCCCAGCCAAACTACAATCCTTTAATACATGGAGAAGTATAGTATGCGTCAGGTTAGGGATGCAATTCTACATGTGTGTCCCCTGACGCACCTAACATCCATCTTAGAGATGGATGTAAAAAGGTGGTGGTCCCACCAAAACCCTCAAAACAACCTTCTAAAAGAGTATATCAAAATATTTTTATATTAAAATTAATTTTTTTATACTCATGTTTGCCATGGTGTTCACAATTTTTTATTTTAATTTTTTTTTATACTCATGCTTACCATGGTATAGATTGTCTACCCCTAAAATTTTTGGATCCTAGATCCATCGCTTAGATGGATTTTGGAGGGAGGGCTTATATAAATAGATGAGGCAGACTCACAAAAACCTTGTCCTTAATATATTTGTATGTTGATTGTCAATCCTTTAATACAATTCTTATATTCTCTGTAAGTTATGTTTTTGATAGCTTTAAACAATGATAATGGTGTTAGGTTTGATAGCTTTAAACAATGATAATGGTGGTGGCCTAACAACCTCGGGGTCAAATAAAATCCATTTTAGGTGTGGAGAGTCTCTCTCTCTACTTCTTTCTCTCTCCTTATATATATGTGTTTGTATATATATTAATAGGAAAATGATTCTAAAACATCGGGCTTGCATGTGCAATAATATATGCCCTACGAATTGGATTAGGAGGGAAAAAAGAGAGATGATTATAGGAAAATGATTCGAAAACACCAGGGGCACATGTACAACAGTATATGCCCTAAAATTCATAGTAGAATAGAAAAAAATGGATGGCCAAAGTTGTGTATGGGTTATAATTTTATTTTTATTTGTTACAGATCTGTTTTACATGAAATTTTGAGAGTATCTGTGCCTCACAAAGTTGCACCTAAAAAGTTATAAAAATAACAATTTGAAAATACTAAATTGACCAAAATACTCCTGAATGTTTCAGGGTATATTGGACTTTCTGGGTTATTTGTTTATGTTTTTCTAGGTGCTCCGAATTTAGAAGAGTGGACGCCCCAAATTTCATCTGAAAAAAGTTTGTTAAAAAAAATAAAATTCAAATACAAAGGCAATCATGGATGTCTGTTTTCTTCCCTTTTAATCTAAATGAAGAGTGGATGCCCAAATTTCATGTGAAAAACGTTTGTTAAAAAAAAAAAAATTCAAATACAAAGGTAATCATGGATGTCCATTTTCTTCCCTTTTAATCTAAATGGTTGTGTATGCTATTGTATACACAAGCTTGAGTTAAAAATTATTGTCTATATATATTAAAATGATTTTCTATAAGTATGTCATACGTACATACACATACGTGCATACACACCCACACACGCACACACCCATACCCACACACATATATATATCCTTGCTTGTTTGCATCATGTCATACATGATGTGGTTTCCTAGGTGGCGCCTTTTGTTTTTTAAAATACTGGTTCCTATCAGAAATTATAAAGTGATATTTCTTTTTTAAAGACTGAAACCATTTTCAAGTAGTTCAACAAAGGCACTTATTCTCTATGGCTATGGGGTGTCTGTATGTAAGAGTTAGCATTGTACACTTATACAAACTTTAGTGCATGGCTTTGGTCAGGTGTTAGGTTTTTTAACAGTTTAGATGACCATTGTGGCCTGTCTGACCAGTGGCCACAACTCTCTAAGTAGCTACTGGATGAATAGATTAGCAGTTGACATAAACAATATGGATGCCTAACTGTGGAGTGAGTTCTAGCCTTGTATGATTCTTGTCCATGCTGCAACCTAGGTCGCAATTTTTTTATATTTAAAGGCCCAAGGGGTCAATCATGCATACATGCCTACATATATAAATCATTATGTCTGTGTATTGGAATAACTTTGTTGCATACATACATGCATGTATTTCATATGCATGTACATACCGATGTATATGTACCAACATATATATGGTGTCTCTTTACACTACACAAAGAAAAAGAACACTACAGTCTTAATCTATGCATGCATGACGCAAACATATAGTCACACTCACATATGCTATGTATGTGTTACCCATATTTGTGTATCTAAGTCCTTATACAAAAAGATCAAAGTTAGAATATGGGTTTGGGGGATGATTGACTTTTAGATCGTGGATTCTGGAGGAAGGCTTTTGTTGCATAATGAAATTGCCTTAGTGTTGCCTTCCAGAAAGAGGCCGAAACTGGTACGATGGGATTGATGTTATGATACCAATGTTCTGTGAAGATCAAGAAACTGGAAGATAGGGTAACTTTACTTTGTAAGTTTTTTGCACAAAGTAAATTCTTTGCAAGTGTGGATATTTCTGCTACCTTCAGGATTAAACTGTTTGGATGTGGCTTGGGAGTCGATTTTAATGATGGCAGGGTGTATTTATGAATGAAGGTGGTAAATGTTAGTTTAATTGCTACTAGCGTGCACTTTTTATGTATTTTATGAATCACAAGACGATCAAAGGGTGCATCTCATTGCTGCTGGTAAACAATTTAGGATCCATCTCACTCCTCCCACACCCTCCCCCCTTTCTCTATTTTCTTCGCCTTGGCCTCACTAAACAGACGTTTTAATCTCTTTCTTATAAGCTAATTCTATCACAGGTGGTCTCACCTGTTTTTTGGTACTTGAGGTCCATTTGAGGGTAGCTGTTTTTTGTAAACCATGAACCTTTTTGGTTATTCTTACTCTGAGTACCTGAGTTGTGGGTTGCCGTATATCTCTCCCACTTCTTCCTCTTCCTTCCCGCCCTTCTTTTCTTTACTCTCTTTTTATTGCCCATGCCTTCCTGGGCACCCAGCTTGTGGGCTGCCATCAAGGGGCATGTTGGGTTTCTTGTAAGTTTTGTAAGATATTAATACAGTACAGTCAACCATTATTTTTTCAGAAAAAAAAGGGCAATTGTCACAGTTATTTTGATTGAATCATTGTACTGCATATTTAAGATGAAGTAATTCTGAGTTGCCTGATAGCTAGTACTGCAGGAAGCAATTCTTTGTCAATTAGGTCTCCACAAACAAAATGTCTACATCAATCATAGTGTGCTAATGTGGCAAGAATATGGTCTTGTTTCTTTTGCGAGATTGTTGGAGCGACTAACAATTTATTTTATGCTAACTTTTTCTTCTTTACTCTTCATTTTCTAATATGCTATTTGAGATGTGCTATTTATTAAATCCCTTCATAGTATCTTTGAAATGTTAATATCTAAATTATTATGTGACTCGTGGTAGATGTTCTCTTTGTCCATGGAACTAATCAACTCTATTTTATTGCCTTGATATTCTTTTGATTATACCTATAATCTATGATGCAAACAGGGAAGCATAAACATTACAACGATGTATGACAGTAGAACACGTGACATTGAAAGTTCTGTTGTTGCAAGGGGGGACTTATGGCGAGCAGAGGCATCTCATGGGGGATCTACCTCAGGGAATGACAATTCACCAGTCTTCCTAATTCAGCTTGGGCCAGTTCTTTTTGTTCGGGATACGACACTGCTTCTGCCAGTCCATTTATCAAAGCAGCACTTGCTTTGGTATGGCTTTGATAGGAAGGTAAAGCTATTATTGTGACAATCAAGTTGATGCAATCGAGTACTTTTTAAATAAGTAATTTGATTTGAATGTGATGTCATGTGAGGCATCTTGTGCATTGTGTGCAAAATGCTCGGGCATATTTGCTTTGTGATTCTCTTTCTTTGGTAATAAAGGAATGTCTGTGTGGGTGTGTACAGGCGCATGTGTTGTGTGTGCATTTGCACTCACATGTGTTAGTTTATATATATATGTGTGTGTGTGTGTGTGTGTGTGTGTATGTATTTTATTTATTTATTTAATATTATATGAAACATAGATTTAGCTGTCTGGCATTTGGTTTTTCTCTGCATTTCAAAGTTAGTACTGAACTGATAACAGGTTGTGAAAATCCTGAACTGATGGCGGTTTTTTTTTTTTTAAAACAGGATGCTTATTTTCTTTTGTCTGCTACATTTTGAATTATCATCTGCGTTAAGTCATACTCAACTAGTCTTCTGGTTGTTATCCACAGAATGGGATGCACTCTCTGTGCCCAGCCATATGGTCAAAACACAGAAGGTGGCTATTGATGTCAATGATATGTCTCAACCCCTTGGCTTGCGTAAGTTTCTAATTCCTGTTAGGGTATTTCAGATTCTTTGACAAAATTTTGGGTGCCATTCCAAAATTATATATTCTTTAATCTTCTATTGTTGGGGTTAGTCTGCTTTCGCTTATGTGTTCCGTTTGTATACTATACATGGGAAAGATGTCATACAAATGAAAATTATAATACCTTTTTGGTCTTCTTTGTTCGAAAAGTGACTATTGGAAGATTGTGAAGTAATTGAGCCTATGTGAAACCGTTGGTGTTGTCAAATCTGTACAGTTAATTTTTTACATCCCCAAGACACCAAGGTTTTCTCTCCACTAGACCCCTACAACCACCACTATGTCACCACTGCTATTCTCCTCGCCATTGACATCCTTATTGTTGCCACTTTTGCATATCACCCTTGTAACTGTCTTCCCTTTTTCTTTATCAACTTCTTACTGTTCGACTTGCTCGGGTTATATATGCTGGTTGAAGGATCTTTATCTTTTGTACTGCTAATTTTCACTCCTATTATTAATAAGAAATGCAGATTGGGATAATTAGTTCACACTTCTATTACGGAAAAATTGTTTACTATAATAAGCTTGCAGCATTTGTGTTTGAGGGTTGTGTAGGCTGCATTAGAAGGTATTGAGGTGTGGTATGGCTTACAATAGCCACAGCTTGATAAATATCTCTCTCCTCTATCTCTCCCTCCCCCCCCCCCACCCCCCACAGCAGGTATTTAGGCCCATGGGGTGCATGGGCCAACCAATCCCTTCCTCTTTTGGTGTAGATAAGCAACTAGCTGATTTGATGAAGGGGCCAACGAGGGAAGACAAAAATGGCAGGAATTTGAAGGCCAGGTTTAGAGTACTGTGAGCTTGATGGATTGAGTTGGCTGCATTTTGGGTGTCTTATAGGCCCTGAGTTTGTCTTCTCTCGTTGGCTATGATAGGTTGTATTGTATTTGTGCTTATTCTGTTTAATGATTTATTTTAAGCAATAAAAGTTTTGGGCAATTGAAGGATGTTCTCTTAGCTAGACTTTTCTTGTTTGTGCATTATTTGGTTAACAGTAATACAACTTTGAAGTCATCTGGTAACTTACGCATAGTGGAATCTGTTTCATTCTGTATGTATTTCTTTTCTTTTGCTTTTAGTGTGCATGTATCTCTGTGTATGTGTGTGGGTGTAGCTGTTAATAGTACATAATTTCTTTGGCATTCTAAGTCGAGGGAAAAAGTAAATGCCTCTCTGACTTTTCTTTTGCTTTCTTTTTTCTTCAGTCCTTTATGGATGTGCAGTTCCCAAATGGGCAGCTTACATATGTATCTGGAGAAGGCTTGACTACCAGTGCTTTCCTACCCGTTCTTGGGGGCCTCTTGCAAGCTCAGGGTCGTTATCCAGGAGAAACAAGATTAAGCTTCTCTTTCAAGGTCAGTGGATATGTATGATGGTCATAATCCTTATCGTTGACATAAGGATCAATAGTTTATTCTTGAATGAAAACTTGGGGGTATGTTCTTTGCATGTGCTAAATATAGAGAGATACAAATGAACCCAAAAAAAAAAATGCAAGAAAGGATACATAACCTGAAAGAATTAATCCGGACATCATCATCGTCAAAGCCTTTTTCCAACTAATTGGGGTCGGCTACACAAATCCTACTCCGCTATGTACAGAAATCCTGGTCCGCTATGTACACAAATCCTGGTCCACTAAAAGGCAAAAGACTAAAGAAAATTGTGAAGGGAAGGAGAAAGGGAAATACCATATGTACAGAGAGAACATATAGAAATGGATAGGAGTTTAACTTAAAAAATTTAGAAATCTGAGAGAGTTTCCCTTTTAAAATCTAATTTGGTTTTTGGAGATATGGATTGATTTCATGGAAGTAGGAAAAAATATGCTTGTCAAATTTCAGAGGTTTGGCTAGAGATTTCTAGGGAAGAAAATTAAGATATGTGAGTAAGGAAAAATACACATGAATACCTTACCCTAAACTTTCTCTCCTAATGTTTCCTCCAATACGTACCTTATCCCAAACTCTTGTCTTCCTGTGGTGTCCTCTTCTAATTGAATACCACATGTCCACCCATTAATTGTGGCTTAATAATTTAGGTCAGATATGAAATTGGGAGACAATTTCTTGATCTAGACATTTTCATATTGTCCATGATTTGAATTATTTTGGAACTTTTTTCTTGGTTGTGACTTGTTTCTTAATTTGTAATGAAGTTTCCAGTTGAAAGGCTTATAAGGATACAGGGTTGAGTCTTCTTTGTTTCTATAATATTTTGCTGTTTCTGCCATCCATTTTTTGATGTTTTTGCCAACTATTTGCTGGTTGATTATCCATTTCTGCCATGTTGGCATTGGAATGACTATAAAAAAGATCTTTAATTGCTTACATTTCCAGAACAAATTGGGAACGCGTATCACTCCAATGGTTCAAGTACCAGATAAATCAGTTTCACTTGGAATTGTGCAAGCATTAGCATGGCAAAAATCAGGTCTGATGGTTCGGCCAACCATTCAAGTCAGGTAGGACTAACAAGCTGCTGGATCACATAAATCCATGTCTTTTGTTCAGTTTTCATGTTGGTTCTTTAAATATCTCTTCAATATCTGGGGTAAATATTTATATTTTTAACTTGACATTGAACAGTGTTTGCCCCACTTTTGGTGGTAGCAATCCTGGATTACGGGCTGAAATAATTCATTCTGTGAGGGAGAAACTGAGTCTCATTTGTGGCTTTGCTCGAACAATGAATCCTTCAGCATTTGCATCCGTCGCTGTAAGTGACTCTCATCAAAATAGTAAATTAAGTAACCTTTGAAGAAAATTCTAGTAACTTTGTTGATGAGTGAAGATAAAAGTGACAATTATGACTCGTACGTTGAATGATAACCTGACAATTGATGTTTGTAACTTCTTGCCACTACATGCTATCTCATTTGTTCAATAGTAGCGGCATATGTTTTGTTTGTTGCATAGTGTTTTAAGTAATGAGTGACTTAAAACTTGTCCGCTTGTGTAAACCCAGCTCATCTAAGTCCATTTGAGACTCAGGCAAGTCATTGAGTCTACTCTTATTGGCATGGCAAACTCACAGCCAGTCACTAGCCAAGCATTGGTTTTAATCTATGGTTTCTTGACAATTGGTACATTTTAAATATTTTTTTGTAAATGGAGAACCTTGATTCCTTCAACCCAAAAGAGGACCTTTTTTGTTTCCTAGCTTAAAACCTTGATCAGAAGATGGGGAAGGATTAATACCCCCACTTTTTCTAAACTATCTGACTCATAGTTACTTGAATCTCTCACTGAAGGTCGCGATTCCGATTCAGAACCCCGATTTAGCGATTACGCCAAGGAATCTTCATGGAACCCATTTCCGTGAAGACTGGAATCTCGATTCCTTATTTTAGGAATTCCGATTCTCACACTTATAGAATCGCATTTCCAATATTGATTAATTCTCGATTCTGCCATTGGTGAACTTCAATTATACACTTGTTGAAACTGGTTTTCACATATATAAATACTTAATTCGATTGTTTTTGAATCCAAAATCCTGAACAATAAGAATCATGTTTGGTAGATGCAAGAAACAACGAATTAATTGAACATTGAAACTTGTTTCCACCCTCATAGAACCTTGATCTGTTTTATTTTTTGGGAATCGTAATACCACAAAATCAAATACTAATGTTTTAGGTGCATAAATGTGACTTATAAATTGGCTAAAATATTTATGGAATTTGATGTGAATTATTTAGAAACCGGAACTGAAAATGATTATCTTCCATAATTAATGTGTGTTCCGAACAATAATATGATGAACACATTGCCGAAGTTTTGTTTCCATAAATCAACATTCAAATTCAAAAGTATAGAGTTAAGTTCTTAACAAGTTTCATTCCAATGTCTTTTGGGGGTAACAAGGGCAAACATAACTTCTTTTGCAGGGCCCTTGGAGTATTAAAATAAGATAACTTGCCCTTGCAACGTTAAAATTGAATATTCCACGCCTTCACCCTTGGTATCAAAGGCCCATATCCCTTCAGATGGGTCGAAACTCGAATCCAAACTGCAATAAATCTTGATTCCAATCTGGGTCAAATCTTGATTCCAAACTGGCATAAATCTTGATTCGAAATTCCTAGGAATCTCGATTCTAAAGATGTCAGAATCTCGATTCCATAAATGAAATAATCTCGATTCTATATTGGTCGATTCCAAAAAATAGGTTGGAAATTTGATTCCACAGAACTAGGAATCTCGATTCCATCTATGTAGGGATCTTGATTCCATTTTGGCCGGATCTCGATTTCTATAAAATAGGAATCTTATTTCCCATGATCATAAATCTTCTAACTGGTCACGATTCCATGAATCCAATTCCTAATTTGTTTTGAATTGTTTCAAAACATATGATCTGACTACACCGGTCTTGAACAATGATAGCTTTTACTGGAAGAATCAGATTTTTTCTCAAAATGACAGTTACGTTCCAACCTTAGGTTGTCGGAGGCTTCATTGAGTGTGAAATATGTACGTGCTTTGGGGAGTAAAGCATGCCCAAGGATGTGGGTATCGCACGAGAACAGGAACAAAGTAGGGGTATAGGATCTTTATTTTTTAGCTAGGTTCATGTAGCGGTCTTGTGGATATCTGGTGATGATGCTACAATTTGAGCTATGTTCATTGTGAGTATCTATAAAATCGATGGATGGAAATGCTGTCTGATGCATGGTTTTGGGGCTGGCGAAGAGATTGTTCTCAAGATCTATGTTGTGGTCTACCGGTCGTTGTTTATAAACTTGGCCAGAGAACTGGACTTACCCGGCGCACATTGCCTGGCCACTTCTTGATTTTCCAAAGAAATTTTATAACTCGCCTGAGACTTAAATTTCTTTTTTTCTTCTTTTGACCATACTATTTTGTAAATTTTTTCGAAGAGTTCTCAGTGAATCAGCTTGTCGACAAGCTTAAGGCAGGTCAGATTTTAAGCCTACTCCAGTTTTAAAATTTGCTACGAGTCCAGAGGTTCGTTGTCAGTTCATTTAGAGTCATGAGCTTTAGATCTTCGATAGAGATTGTAGCAGTATGGGCATGATAGATAACATCAAGGGGAACTGCCTTGCATATGATTAACTCTGTCTATGGGTAGTTGGGGGATGATGATCATAGGATACTTGTATGAGGGATCTTTCTAGTTCATTTAGAGCCATGCTGTTAGATCTCTGTTAGAGACAGGACCGGTATGGTAAATGACAGAGAATGGGAAGTTTATAAGGAGTACTACAACAAAATTAATGTTGTGTGAAATTTTGTTGACTTGGATTAGGAACTAAATTATTGGAATCACCTACCGTTGGTACCACCGTGTTATTTTTTTTTGAGAATGTTAACATTGTATTACTTTAAAAGACGAAGGAATACAAAGATTGAGGGAGAGGACCGAGAATACCCACGAGACAAGTATCTCAGTCAAAAATCGGTTCACTGATTCTATACAAAATATATTTTTTTGAAGTGGCTGTATACAAAAGATTGAGGTCTCAAAAAAATAGGCTTATAAGCACACCCTATTACAAGCAGCAGCAAAAAATATCTAGTGTCCTAGAAAAACTCTGTGGTCCAGAGCAAAAAAGGAGATGGACCAGTCATTATCTTCCATGTGTGGTCATCGACGTGCTCCGTCTTTAGCCAGAAGGTCGGCGAACTTGTTCGACGTCTGCCATATATGCCTCCAATAGACGGTATCCCTGCATAAGTGGTAAATTTCATCAAATATCGTAGATAGGTACCAAGGGGGGGTAGTGGTGCCTGCTGCCCATGATAAAATGTTTTGAGCATCTCCTTCCACCACCAAGGATTGGCCCCAAGATGGATTAAAAAATTTTAGGCCCATTAGGAGTGCCATGTCTTCAACAAACTGTGAGTCTCCATGTCCGACATATTCTGAGTATGTCATGAGAACTTTGCGATTGTGATCACGGAAAACCCCTTTTACTCCTGAAGGGCCTGGGTTTCCCAATGAACAGCCATCGAAGTTAAGCTTTATGGCATTTTCTGGAGGAGGCAACCAGTTGTGAGGTCTTTGTATCTTGAAGGGCTGGAATTGGATAATGTTCTCCCATGGCCTGAGGAAAGAACTCGTAGGAATCCCACCAAAGATGCTGTGGGTGGAAGCCCTAAACGTTACAAGGGATGTAACCTTATGAAATAGCATTGAAACATCATTTTTGTGTCCTTGAAAGACCCTCTCATTTCTTTCTAGCCATAAAACCCATACGGTAGCAGCGATTGCTGCCCTCCACAAGGTTCTACCTGCTTTGGGCCATTGACCTTCTGAGTAATAAACGAAGAGATCGTTAACCAAAGGTGGGAGGACTCAATGGAGACTAAACAAGTGGAGAATTAGTGTCCAAAGTTCAAAGGCCACACTGCAATGTAGAAAGAGGTGGGGATTTGATTCCTCCTCTATCAGGCACATTACACATCTGTTTGGGAGCGGCAGACCTCATTTTTGAAGCTGGTCGAGTGTGAAAGCCCGTTGACAGCCTGCTATCCAATTGAAGGTCTGGACTTTTGGAGGAGCTATTGTGTTTCAAACTTTGGAAAGAGGAGAGGTGGGATTTAACGGAAATGTAAGAGGTTAGATAAGTTTCTTATAGAAAGAGGCTGCTGAAAACTTACTAGAAGGGGATCTAGTCCATACTAAAGAATCATTCCCTGATGAAGGTAAGAACACGCGGTGAAGAGTAGCCGAAAGGTTGGTGAAAGCTAAAGTTTCCTTGTCGCAGAGATTCCTTCTAAAAGAAGGATTCCAAGTTCTATGCCCCCCTGCCAAGACCATTACCAATGTGTTATTGAATCATTGGTTTGGTTGGTATGGTCCTCCCACTTTTCATGATGATGTTTCCTTGGCACTTATTGAACACTAAGGTAGTGTTTGATAACAGGGACAGAGGGGGAAGTCCCAAACTTTCCCCTCTATTTTAGCTTCCCTAGTTTGGGAACAGTGAATGTCGGAACTTTAAGTTTCCCCATAAAGAATTTGCAGCCAATGGTCATCCCTGGGATGCAACTTTCTGGGAAAATAGACGGGGTTTAACCCCATTAAGGCCAACGCTCACCCTAACCGTCTCACTCACCCTTCTCCATGCTGTTTGTCCTAACCCTCTCACTGAAGCCCAACCTTCTTCCAGCAACGCCCTTCTCTTTGCCCTAGGCCTGCAAGAGAGAGAGAGAGAGAGAGAGAGAGAGAGAGAGAGAGAGAGAGAGAACTATAGATAAGAAGAATAGAGCGTACGAGGAGAGACAATAGTACGAACGGCCGTCGTACCTTAACCTTAACCCCCTTAACCTAACGTTACGTAGGTTAACGGTTTACGTTCGTACCTA